GGGGTTGGGGGGGTGGTAGCACTGCAATAGCGTGCAGGTTAACTTCAATTCTTCACCAAACAATGGATTTTCTAACGCTGGCAAAGCAAGCGGCTACTGAGTAGAGATATTATTATGATTATTTTCTTTTGGGGTAAATCAAGTGCAATTCTTTCCCTACTCCCAATGCACTCAGCAGGCTTAAGACTGGCTTTTGTGACACTAATCTTCCCTTTTCTTGTGACAAACTTCTACATGGCGCTTTACAGTGATAGCAAAGACGCTCAGAATGAAGCATTAATCGAAACATTAACACCAAACCTCCATAATGATTTAAATGCACATTTGGTGTGATGTTGCTCATTATTATTGATGTAATTCTGTAAAGACCTCAGTGGCTGTAAGAAGCCATGTCCAGAAACCTAGTATGTAAATCATGTCAAGGGGGATGCAACATATTTACAATGGCAACTGTTTCAACGTACTTTTCAATACTGTATAGGTCATTTTGAAGACGTTTGGTACTCTTTACCTCAGAACAAAATATTCCAGAAACAATTCCGACTTCACCCACAATCTATGAAACAAAATTCCGCCCACAACCAATAAGTCAGTTCAGAAAAAAGTTTCCCTCCTATCACCCAGACACAAAACCATGTACCCGGTTCTTTGCTTTCTGCGAGGCTTTGAACTAGGTTTTGATCGGGAAATAATCAATGCAAAGGTTGTGAGAAACTAAAACCAAATAGAGTATCGATTTCATTGTCCTTCATTCAACAATCCGACTGCTCTCACTGTCTGCCAAAATCTTTAAGGATTCCCCTCCCGGTACCATTCTCTTTCATTTTAGTTTTTTTAATTTTTATTCTATATTTTAACAAATTCAACACAAACCACCACCCCCACCCCCCTAGAAAATAAAGAATAAAAAGACAACGAAAGGCTGTGAAGGGCTGCCTGTGTGTAATTGATTACCATAATATGGGACAACAAGACGAAATTCTAATATTCAAATCCTGCTCAACTAGTCCAATATATTTTCTTCTCCTTTCCAGGAGCATAACACTATCAGCTTTTGCCCGTTTAAAGAGTGTGGCTAATTGTTTAACCTTATATTATGGTATGAACCTCTACGCATCAGTACTTCTATCTCTCTATCTCTCTATCTCTCTATCTCTTTATCTATCTATCTATCTATCTATCTATCTATCTATCTATCTATCTATCTATCTATCTATCTATCTATCTATCGCTCTATCTATCGCTCTATCTATCTATCTATCTATCAATCTGTCTATCTATCCTGCTTTTGATAAAGAAAATAACTATCAATCTTGGCCATGACATGCAGGGTCAAAATTCGCCCCTAAAAGATCTACATTTTGACGATGGGGTCGTAAAAATTATATCTTTATTTCATTCTCTTTTTATTCTTTCTTCAACAGACTACAGAGACAGGGCTGTTCTTTTCTTCATCCGTCTCGTGGACGAGGCAATCATATCGCACTGGGGAGGAAAGCCTTATGAAGACTGGACGATCTCCACACACCGCATGCCTTATCCCCCCTATGTGGACGACGAAATGACCGTTGTGATTCAGGTATTGACTCGTTGTTGAGGACTGAAAGATTGAATTGAAAGGGTCAGGAAAATAAAGTGTCTAAGTGAAAAAATTTGGTTTTAAAATTGAGTTTTAAGTTTGACGAAACACTTCAGGGGAGACTACACAATAATTTGAAAGGGCCAGAAGTCTGATTTAAAGAAAACCATCCAACATTTTCATTTAATTTAGTGGAAAAATTCCGTAACAAGTCAGTGGTCGCTATGAAACTGGTAGACGGTTAGGGTTAAGACTAGAGTTAGGACTATGGTTAGGGTCAAGTCTAAGGTTAGGGTTTGATTTAGAGTTAGGGTTCGGGTTAGGGTTGGTGTTTGGGTTAAGGTTAGGGTTAAGGTTAGGGTGAGAGTGAGGGTTGGGGTTGGGGTTAGGGTGAGAGTGAGGGTTAGGTTTAGGGTTAGGGTGAGAGTGAGGGTTAGGTTTAGGGTTAGGGTGAGAGTGAGGGTTAGGGTTAGGGTTAGGGTTAGAGTTAGGGCTATGGATAGCGATAGGGTAAGGGTTAGGTAGGAGGCTTATATAATATCGTGCGGATTTCCATTCTGTTTCTTGCTTTTATCTCGAAATAACCTCAAACTGACTTGAAACCTCTTCAATATTGTAACTTTCTTTAACCGTTTCGTCATGATGCCTCCACCCCCTCCCCACCCCTCCAAATATATAAAAACTTTGAAAAATTAAAATCCCAAAACAAATACACAATATTTTTTTTTTTAAATAAACAGAACAGATCCCAACTCGCTAGTAAAATAAAACAAGGAAAAAAAATTACAAAACATAACAAGAAAATGAAATTTAAATTATATAGCACAATTAAACAGTTGTTTTTTAAAACAGCAAAAAAATAATGAACGAAAAACAAACACCCGTCTCCAACGACAACACGATAATATCAAAAGAAAAAGAAAAAGAAAAAAAGACAAACATTCACACCTTCTTATATGATTGTATTTTGCTTTACATTCTACAGCAACAACTCGCTTTATACCTCGTGATGTCGTTCATCTTGACTGTTGTTCAATTTACAAAATCCATCGTATATGAAAAAGAAAAGAGACTCAAGGTAAGATCTTAATAGCGTAAGATTACCTCTCACCTCCTGACAGCGGGTGGTTTGCGGGTGCTTTAGTGTGGTTTGCTACTTTTTTTTTTCCATCAAACATCTATCGTCCTTATCTCCCTTCCTTTTGTATCTTCCCACTCTCTTGTAACACTCTTATCCTTATCACTTACACGACGAGCTTACTTGGTTGAAAGTGCCGTAAAACTCATGCTGAAACTATACTAAACTAAACTGTTGATTCTCGTCTTCCACCCAACCTTCCTCCCATTATCTTTACTGTGCACTTATAGCAACTCCCTACGAGGATATCAAGGGTCGCTGCTCTACACTTGGCACGGGGGAAAAACGATACTCAGAAATGTGCATTTATTTAGTTTTAGTAATAGGGGGTGCCCACTAGCGAACGCAGATCGGGTCGGGTCGCCTTCTGGCGGTTTCAGTGCACACTACAACTCTGCTGCGGTTGTACCCGACGACCTGGAAGTTTAAGTAGAGAAACCTTTAACATACATGCGACTACACAGAGGACGTAAACCGGGCTACGATTGGCTGAACCTTTGGCCCGTGATTACATTGAGTAGATCTAGGCCTACCGTATTCTTAGACTTCCCGCACTCCCTCTCTCTGTCTCCCTCTGTGTGCCTGAGTGTGTGTGTGTGTGTGAGTGTGTGTGTGTGTGTGTGTATGTGTGTGTGTGTGTGAGAGAGAGAGAGTGTGTGCTTGCTTGCTTGCTTGCTTGCTTGCTTGCTTTAGTGTCTCTCTCCTTCCTTGTCTATTTCTCACTTCCCATATATATCAGAGACCTAAATCTAACAATGTAAACATTGCTAGGTCTTTGCATATATATCTCAACTTATCTCTCTCACTCCCTGTCACTCTGACCACCCTCCCTCTGTAATGCTCCTCCTCCTCCTTCTTATTCGTCTTCTTCTTCCTCTAGGCCTCTGAGCGCTCCACACCCGCTGTGGCGAGAAGTGAGAAGATGGTCTAAGGCGTGAGACCGAAATCGAGAATTCCCAGAGTACTGTAAGCCTAGCTAATGTATTCATGGGTCAAATGGACTTGTGACTCAGCCTTGTGATTGGCTGCAAACCACCCGATCGCGCAATTCGCAGGCCTGAAAACAAGCGCGTTTGTTTTTGTATGTCACCGACCGAGTCGATCGGTTTGTGCCACGATGGCCGCTTTGCGCCCTCAATGTGGCTTGCCCTGAGTACCCGATCGGCCCGACCAGACCCGACCCGATCGCATATGTGGGCATCCCCAATAAGGTTTTAAGACGCTCGCAACTGCACAATAAGTTCATATGGGCGCCAAGGGGTGGATGTAAACACAGAAGTCCAAACGAGGAATCAGGCTTACTCTGCTCACCTCT